ATTATAAATTAATCCCTTTGATTTTTTTAAAGGAATTAAATAGTTCTCTTGTTTCAATAACTAATTAATTAGTCTCTATATATTTTTTTAAATCTATTTGTAACTTAATATTTTTTATTTTTTATTATTTTTTTTTAATAAATAAAAAGAGGTAAAAAATGGAAAGATTGATGATAAAAAAAAACTTTTTAAGAAGAAAATAATATTAAATTAATCATAGTCAATACTAATCAAGAAACTAATTATTTAGTTTTGAAACAAGAAAGACTTTTTACTTCGTTTTACAAAACTAGAGACTAATTTACAATTTACTCTAACATTTTTAAGTATCTCGATGAGAATTGATCTAGTGTAAGATATATATAGATATATATTATCAAAAAAATATTCAATACACATCTTAAACAAAAACTTATGATATGAGCGTTTAACTGATTTAAGTAACAATAATTTTCAATAAACCTATACTAAGAAATTATGATTAAAAGTTTTTAGTTAAATTTATTTTTTCATATTTTTTTTTCTTTTTTCAACTTGGTTTCGATGCTTTAATTTCTCTTTTTAACGTACATATGCAAGAATGACCAAATTTGTGTATTAATTTGCTATTAACCTTGATTAAAAAATGAAAAATAAAAAAACTCACATATTCTACATGGCAATACTAGAATCGAAATAGATTTTTATAATAAAACTTGAGATTTTTATTTGCTATTTATTTTTTGGTTACAAATGAGAGACTCGAACTCAACTTCTCTCTTGACGAGACTAAAGACACAAATGCTAATTGAGTTATAATCAGTGGGCTTGAGATTCAATATATATACATATATATCATTTTTTAAACCTTATTTAATAATTTAAGGTTTTGGATTGATATAAATCCTCGAGATATATATATATATATATTAGCGATTGAAAATATGATTGAATAAGTTTATATGTTAACCAAGAACAAAGGTTTTTTTCACACGATCTTAAGATATATTCAACATAATAAATATCTGTGGAGGCTGACCTAAGGTCTAAAATTAAAAAAAATAAAAAATAAAAAAATAACAAATAACAAACATCTTTAACAATTAAGTCTACCCTTGAGGTTACAACAAAACTTATTATGACAATACAAAACATGTTCTTCTTTCTCCTTTAAAATCTCTCTCTTTTCCGGTTTCATGAAAACATGATCATAAGTCTTTTAATACCATGCTAGATGACAACAATCCAAACCAAAAAAATCATGCTTTTGAGCCAAATGTAGTGTTTATTCATGCAAGTAAGTTTTCACGTTAGCATAACAATAACGAGGCCCTTAAAATCGGTGTCAAAATTTTTTAAAATTCAAACTGATTAGAGGTTAAGGAAATGCTATCAATCTTCCCTTGTTTTGCATATCTATGAACTAAGGTTGTATCCGTTTCGAGAAAAATAAGTTAAAATTTTTTTTTTCAATATTTGTTTCATGGTTAAAAAAAAAGTTGATGGAATTTAATAGACTTTTTTGGGAAAGTGACTTCTAAGATAAAAAAGAAGAAAACATTTTCTCTTTCTCACACGAGTCTGTATTGCTCTCATGTTACTTACCTCTTTCTCGATATATTTTAACAATTTTTTTCTCTATCTCTTTTTTTTATTTAAAATATTTTCAATTATTTTTAATTATTTCTTATCAATTATTATTTCTTATTTAATTATTCTTTTCTCTATTTCTCCTAACATTTGATTTTTCAATTTATAAATACATTAAATATTTTTAAAAACCATTGTTAAACCTTAAAATTATTTTTATAATAAATATTTCAATAATTTATCTTTATTTTTTTTTACCATTATCTCAAACACTACTTAAATTATACTTAAATAATTGAAAATGATTATTACAATAATGCAATCATTTGTGAAAAAATTGAAACTAATTAATTCATTAATAAATATATTATTTTTCTAACACTCGTTCATTTGTAACTAAATCAATAATTTACGACTAATTTTAATTAATTGTAAAATTTTGTTGGTAATTATAGTCAATAATTAGTTACAAATTATTTCAACATTAATCTTTTAAAACCAAATGAATAATTATCTACAAATGATAATTAATAATTTGTAAAACTATTTTTTAGACTAAATTATCAATTCAATTTTTTTTAAAAAAAATTTCTTAATTGAGTTACCAAAATAACAATGTTAGGATTACTTAGAAATTGTTTGTTTTTTACTAAATATGAATATTGACTTGTTTTGTCCTAAGTAATTTTGTTGAATTGGTTTGATAGTTAAAAATATAAATTTTAATTTTTGATTTTTTGAATTTAAATCTTAGAGTTAGTATTTATAAAAATTTATTAAACTTTTCTAAATGCATCTTATATTGTGAGATTGTGAATATGCATTATTGAAGTTCTCTCGGAACTCGTTGATGTAAAATCATAACATGTTTTTATATTTCGAGTTTTACGTATCAAACAAAAAATTAGAATATATTTTTCAATAATTTTTTTATATAATTTTCAAACATCAAAAAATATTTTTTTAAAAATAATTTTTTATAAAATAACTTATTTAGCATTACTTATCGTATTGAAAGTTATTTTTGGTCAAATAAACATAACCTAATTAGCATTTGTTTTGCACACGAAGACCCCATGTATGTGTCCGACACCCTCCGACGTGACTCTCGTATTGCTCTTATGGGAAATCTCGAATCTTTTTTCTTTTTTTGGTTTGGACTCTAGAATTATTTGGTCAATCACGCTTAATGGCACCAACAACTAAGAGTCAAGAGTCATTTATTGCCGACAACAAATCAGATTTAATTTGTAGTTTTGATGCAAGAGGTTGGATACAGTTTTCTTTCATATTTGGTGGTATTTATCTTAACTAGGTTATTGATTTCATTCATGATTTTAGTATGTTGTTAAAAATATAATAGTTTAATTAAATTAGTTGTTGGTCTGATGCTAATAACAATTGATCTTCAGTTTAATTTTTTTATTATGGAGAAGGATTAAATTTTATCATTTTCTCTCTGAATATGATTAATTCTATATTTAATGTGAGATAAGAATACCTATATGTTAAAAAAAAAATTTATTATATATTTATTTTTGTTTCTGATCCAATCTAAGCCATTGAATCAAAATAAATAGGGAGATTTGAAATATATAATTGACCATATATGTTCGGTTTTTCTAACATATGTTGACACACCCTAATTGATCGATATACTTGGAAACTAATACTTACATATTTAATTAATTTATTTCCATAATTACAAAAACTGCATCTGGTTGAATATGGAAATTAAATATTTCAAATTAAACCAATTAACGTGTGTTATTCAAATATATGTTAGAAAAAAATCATTTACTTTCTTTCTAAATGAGAGTGAATTAAAGAAATGAAAAGGGTGGTGAATGATGACAAGGCACGTAGGAAAGCTAAAATGGAAACAAAATAAACGAGGGAGAGAGAGAGAGAGAGAGAGAGAGGTGAAAGAAGAAGACGATGATGGTGGGTGGTGAGTAGATGATTGATAAGCATCAAACAAGACGACAAATAGCACAGATACAGGCCGGCAATCTCAAATTACCAAAGCCACTACGAAGTCCCATATAAAGCCATAATAAGCACCAACGCCAACGGACCCAGTGCACTGATGACCTTTTTCTTTCCTAATTTACATCAAAATTATCAATGTCTTCAATATTGTGTCAAATAAATTTCCTATCCCTGTATTATTTTAAAAATATCATTGCAGTCCTTTTACTTAGATATAGTTAACAACAAATTTTATATTATTAGACATCAGTGTGAGATAGCTTATCCATTAATTTTTTCATCAAATTAACTAATTTTCGTTAGTTGAATAACGTCCGACTAATCAAATAGTGAAATGCGTTAACTTAAAAGTAAAAATATAACTGTATTTTAAAATGAGATTTTCAATTTTTTAAAGTTAAAATAATTAATAATTATTAAAAAATTACTAATGAATAATAATAATAATAATAATAATAATAATAATAATTAAATAATTTTAAAAAACTCCAAAGAAATTATTTTTTCAAATTTTAATGATTTTATAATAATAATTTTAAAAATATATAAAAAACTTTTAATGATTTTATAATAATTACTAATAAATAAAATTAAAAAAATCTAAAGAAAGTTTTTTGGAAAAAATTGAAAAAATTAATAATAATTTTTTTATTAAAATAATTAATAATCATTAAATTTTTCTTTATTAATAATAATTTTTTTATTAAAATAATTAATAATCATTAAAATTTTCTTTATTAATAATTATTTTAAATATTAAAAATTGAAAAATTATTTATTAATAGTTATTATAAAATAATTAAAAATTGAAAAAAAATCTTTACATATTTTTCTAATTTTTCTTTAATAGTAATAATTATAAATCATAAAAATTGAATATTTTTATTTAAAAATATAATTTTTCCATTTTTTTATAATTTTATTATAATTATTAATTATTTAAATTTAAAAATAAAAAATAAATAATAATAATTTTGAAATAAAATTATGTTTTTTATTTTTAAATTGACACATATCGTGACTTAATTGATAAAACATTATTTAACCAATAAAAATTGATCAAAATGTCAGAAAAAATTAACACAGGGACTTTTTGGCACTAACATTCATCAGTATAAGATTTTTTATAATTACATTTGGATAAAGAGATTAGGATAATATTTTTTTATCCAGTATAGTTGTAGGAAACTGGATTTAACCCTTTCACTATTATGTGGAAAATTCCACTTAGATCCCTTACACAATCCATGTCCCTAGGAGTGTGTCTCTGTATAAATGCATAGTGCCACACCTGCATCTTCAAAATAGAATCCACCTAGAAAGTGACTGAGAGGGATGCATGTCTGAGTGTAGTCTCTTATAAACTAGCTATACACCAAAATTGTTATTTCGGTTGGCCCCTCTGCCCTGTCACTTGTATCAAATTAAGCTAGTTAGCTATGGAGTTGGGATCTATCTTGGTGGTCCTAGTAGTGATTTTTGGTGCATTAAGGGTTGCGAAATGGATTCTAAAGAAAGTGAATTGGTGGTTGTATGAAGCCCCGCTGGGTGAAAAGCAGTATTTACTACCTCCGGGGGATTTAGGCTGGCCTTTTGTTGGCAATATGTGGTCCTTTCTCAAAGCTTTCAAATCCAGTGATCCTGATTCTTTCATGCGCACCTTCATCAACAAGTATGTTGCTAGTTTCTCTATTTCTGTCTCTTTCCTTTTTATGTATGCTCTTATGTCTGCCCTCCTCCAGTCATCTTTATCTGCCTAGCGTTCCATCTAGGCATGATTCCATTCCTTCATTCTTTCTATCTTTCTGGGGCAGGGGTAATTCTGCACTCTATGTATGTATCTATGAAGGTGCATAGAACCCGAATATGTCCGTATCTCCGATGAACCTTACTTTGCAGCCAGTGGGAAATCTGAAGACCCTATTAAGAAGGATACTATTTATTAATTCCAGTTGGAATGGGATTGAAGGGGTAGGAGCTGGCTTTGTTTGTCATTTTTTCTGTCCTCTTTAGAAAAAAAAATTCGTCTCTTTGAGACACAATTTTTATTATAATCAATTGATACGTGTGTGTGTGTGTTTAATCTCGCAATAATGGAGAGATCGAGTCTTTAGAATGTTTAATTAAATAGTAAATGCTACGTATTCTCGTCCTAGGAAGCACCGGGAGTGAAGAAATGTGGCCCAGGAATATATTTATAGGATGGAATGTTGGTGCCCATCCAGTGTAATGATATATTGATGGCTACTGCAGTACAGTCCAGAATGCCGTTTCTTTTCCTTTTGTTTTGTTGGAAACGATTCCTAATTATGATGAATGGCTTTTTTCTATGGTGAAGATTATACCGTACTGTATTTGTTTTTCAGTAATTCTGGTCCTCCACATGACTAGAAAAAGGAAGCTATCAAATTGAATGGTCCTTATCTTGCTATCTGTTCCAATTATTACATTACATCATACACCAAATCTTAAGTATATGGATGAGATCCTATGATTTCCTTGCCCCTTCCACACCTTGACTAGTAATTAATTATTAATGATATTTTACTAAATTGAATGGAACAATATGGTACAGGTATGGACATACTGGAATCTATAGGGCCTTAATGTTTGGGAACCCTAGTGTATTCGTAACAACACCTGAAGCATGCAGAAGAGTATTAACCGACGACGATGCATTTAAGCCTGGTTGGCCTATTTCCACAGTAAAGCTTGTTGGAAGGAAATCCTTTATTGGCATTTCTTATGAAGAGCACAAGCGCCTTCGCCGCCTGACGTCTGCTCCCGTCAATGGTCATGAAGCATTGTCTGCTTACATTCCCTATATAGAAGAAAATGTGATTGCTGCATTGGAAAAATGGACCACTATGGGACAGTTTGAGTTCTTGACTCAAATGAGAAAACTTACCTTCAGAATAATCATGTATATATTCCTTAGCTCTGAGAGTGAATTGGTCATGGAGTCTTTGGAGAAGTATTACACCACTCTGAATTATGGTGTCAGGGCCATGGCAATCAATCTTCCTGGATTCTCTTACTATGAAGCATTCAAGGTCGATCTCACTTTTTTTGATCTCCACTCTTATTCATTTCTCGTCAACTTTTGCCTAGTCTTATTTTTTTTTGTTCATAGGTGATAATGAATTTTTATTAATTGCAGGCTCGCAAAAGACTTGTTGCTATATTCCAATCTATAGTGAATGATCGTAGGAAATTAAAGATGGATGGTGCTATTCACTCAAAGAAGAAAGACATGATGGACTCTCTTTTGGATGTTGAAGATGATAATGGTAGAAAATTAACTGATGAAGAAATCATTGATGTTATGCTGATGTACTTGAATGCAGGCCACGAATCCTCTGGCCATATCACCACTTGGGCTACTATTTTCCTCCAGGAACACCCTGAATTTCTCCAAAAAGCTAAGGTATGTACCACCTTTCGATTAACTATAAGTCTGTACCCGAATTCTGTTGAAAGGCTGTGTGTGCATTGATCCATCCCTTGATTACTTCTTAGGAAGAACAAGAACGGATTGTTAAAAAGAGGCCACCGACACAAAAGGGATTGTCACTGAAGGAAGTTCGAGAAATGGAATATCTTTCCAAGGTACCATTCATCAGCAGTACTCTCATGATTTTATGTTCAGCTTCGGAAAAATCCATCAAGTTCATAACAACATATTTGAATTTCTTAATTTGTTATAGGTGATTGATGAAACCCTTCGATTAGTAACATTCTCGCTTACTGTTTTCCGAGAAGCAAAAACAGATTTCAGCATAAACGGTTAGTTCTAAAAAAAAAAATATCTCTTATGGAGTCGACCAAAAGTTGATGTGCTTGCTGACTTATATAATGGTATTGTCTTCAGGATATACCATTCCAAAGGGTTGGAAAGTTCTGGTTTGGTTCAGGACAGTTCATTTGGATCCAGAAATCTATCCATATCCAAGCCAATTTGATCCTTCTAGATGGGATGTAAGTCAATCTGCTTCTGCACAGTATTTATATATTATATTTGATGATCAACGTTAACCTCCTTAATTTAATAACTTTGGTTGTAGAATTACACACCGAAAGCAGGGACTTTCCTCCCTTTTGGAGCTGGAAGCAGGCTGTGCCCTGGAAATGATCTTGCCAAGCTTGAAATATCTATATTTCTGCATTATTTTCTCCTCGATTATAAGTGCGTCTCTTGCTTATATTTATGGGCGATCCTGCATTATTTTGTCCCAGATAAATTATTATATACTGCTTTATTTGTTTTTGATCTTACAGGCTGGAACGTCTGAATCCTGAATGCCCCCGGAGATTCCTGCCTCATACCAGACCAACGGACAACTGCTTGGCAAGAATCAAGAAAGTTTCATCCATCGCTTGATAAGAAGCAATTGAACGGGGAAGCATTTCTAGATGCTTGGAGAAAATAAGGATAGGATTTTGGTTCATCAGATGGCCCATGTAGTACACAATTGTAGAAGTGGACAAGCAGTTGTGTTGCTCCTCCATTTCATAAATCTGGTATTAAAAATCTATAATTAAATTATAAATATAGATATATTATGAAATAATGAATGTCTATATGAATTTTATCTATTTTTAATATCTCAATTACTCATAATTCTTAACGTGATTCAATTCATCATTCAATATGAGAAATTGAAAGGGTGATGCAACTTATTCAACAATTTATATACTTTTAATTATTTATAATCCTTTTCAATTTTCTTCTTAATTTTGAATCCTATAAATAGGCTTGATTGTTCATTAGTTGGTGTACAAGTTTTTAAAAAGATTAAGAGAATAATTTGAAATTCTTATCATTTGTATTCACTTTATTTTATATTGAATTCATTTCCTTATTATTTTTTTCTTCAATTTTCTTATTATTTCTATTTCTTTTATAACACGATTGTTATACCAAATGATGCAAATCATCTAGACTATTAAGAGGTATGTATTTAATTTATTTTTTACTTTAAATCTAATGGTATATATAGTATATATTTGAAAAACTTGAATAATCTAATATATGTTTTAATAATCTAATGCATGATGTTTTGAGAAGTTTGAATTTTATTATTATATTTTTTATTTTATAACATCATTATTATATCTTGTATTATAGAATTTTTATTATGTCAAAGGCCATAAATGTCAAACCTCACAAAGGTTAATTTTGTGGCCCTTGACATTTCGGATAAGAATTATTTATCATAGGTGCTTGATATCGAGATGCATTTAAATGCTAATGGTCTTAGACAAACAATCATGGATGGTAATCAATAATCTTTACAAAAATGTGCTAAGGCAATGATCTTTCTTTATCGTCATCTCCATGAGGATTTGAAAATTGAATATTTAACGAGTAAAAGATCCACTTGAACTCGTGAAAAAATTAAGGTACAACCACTAAAAGATGATAATTCTTTCAAAAGCTCGTTATGATTGAATGTATTTAAGATTGCAAGATTTCAAAACGGTGAGTGTAATTTTGCGGTATTTAGAATCGATTTTCAACTAAAATTATGTAGAGAAAATATTACCGATTTAGATATGTTAGAGAAAACATTCTCTACTTTTAATACCTCGAATTTGCTCTCGCAAGTAGTAATATCTAGAAAAATGTTTTAAGAAATACTTTGAATTAATTTCATGCCTACTTGTGGTTGAACAAAATAATGAGCTACTAATGAAAAATCATGAATCTCACCCAATTAGGTGTACTCTATTCTTTGAAATGAATGTGAGATCTTATAATAATTTTAGGCGTGGACGAAGACACGGTCGTAGTCATAGACGTGGACGTGATCATGACAATATCTATAGTCATGGTCGGAATAACTATCGTTATGATCGTGGTTGTAATAATAATACACCTTGCCACCGGAAAGTGGATAAATTATAAAAAGAAACAAGAAAAGAATAAAAATGGATCAAGTCAGTATTCGAAAATGAATATTATACACGTGGTATGAAAGGACATTGGTTGCATACCCGTCATATGCCAAAACATCTAGTTGAGCTTTATTAAACCTCGTTAAAAAAGAAAGAAAATGATATAAAGATAAATTTTATATACCAAAATAATGATTGTGACAATGTTTCTCATGAACGTATCGGTAATTTGACATATATAAATGTTGTTGATTTCTTTGAAGATTTGAAAGAAAAGATCATTAGATTAATGATAATCATTAAAATTAATATCTTGTTACCTTCTCTCGTTGATAAATAAATAAGTTTTATGTTTTCTTATAATTTCTATTACATTATGATAGTTATAATATTTATTTATTTATTTTATGTTTATGAATAATATATAGATACTACCAAGTTTGTAAATGGTTTAAACATTATAGAGGAGAATCTATGCCTCGTAGATAGTGTAACAACACATACTATACTTAAAAATAAAATGTATTTCTCCAATTTAATGATGGATAAGACTAATGTTAACATTATATCCGGTAGTGTCAATTTAATTGAAGGTTCCGAAAGAGCGTATATATTACTACATGAAGGGACAAATTTGATTATAAATGATGCATTATTCTCTCCTAAATCCGATAGAAATTTGTTGAGTTTAAAAGATATTTGTCTAAATGGATATCATATTGAGACAATAAATGTCGGGAATATTAAATACTTATATATTATAAAAATTACATGAGATAGAAAATATGTATTGGAGAAATTACTTGCTTTCTCTTCTAGCATTTGTTACATAAATATTTAAATGATTGACACAAATGCCATAATAAACCAAAGGTTTACTAATTCTTTTATTCCGTGGCATGATCTGGTTGAGCCATCTTGGATTCATTATGATGCAAAAAATTATTGAAAACTCATATGGACTTTCATTAAAGAACTAGGAGATTCTTCAATCTAATGAGTTTTCATATCCCGCATATTCTCAAGGAAAACTTTTTATTAAGCCATCGCTAAATAAAATTGAATTGACTCTCCAACATTTTTAGAACGTATATAAGATGATGTATGTGGACCATTTAGATATTTTATGGTTTTAATAAATGCATCCGTAAGATAGTCACATGTATACTTATTATCAACTTGAAATTTAATATTTTTGAGGTTACTTGCTCAAATAATTTGATTACAAGCACAATTTCTAGATTATACTATTAAAATAATTCACCTTGACAATACCGGTGAATTTATCTCTCAAGCATTTAATGATCATTGTATGTCTATTGGAATAAAAGTTGAACAATATGTTGTTCATGTTCATACTTAAAATAATTTAGCGAGAATCATTTATCAAATTGGATTTAAATTATTGTATTATTACATTATTTATACTATTTATGGTAAAAAAATCTTTCTATTAATTTTTTTTATTTACAATTATTGATTGAATAGATCGAGATAGAAATCCATATGATATGTATTTACATTAGTGATTAATTAAAAGATATGAGACAAGCATTAGTGATATGTGAAACAAACACTAATGCATAAAAATATTATCATTAAATATCCCAAGTCGTAACATTGTTAATAATGGACATTGATTTTATATCGTTAGACTTATGAGTGCTATCCTTATACTATACGATAACAATAGGAGATCTCGCACCTATTGGCATGATGATGCCAAAGCAAACACTTAAGTGATTTAGTTAGAGAACATATCACTAGATTTGACTCGCCAAGAGAACCTATTTAGTTTAGTCTATGGGAAGCTCATACGAGATGAGCATAATTGATCTTTAGATTTGAAGTTATCGCGTCGTTAGCCTTATGAGTGCTATGCTCATACTATATGATAACATCATAAGATCTCACACATATTGACACGATGATACCAAAGCAAACACTTAGGTGATTTAGTTAGAGAACATATCACTAGATTTGACTCATCAAGAGAATCCATTTAGTTTAGTCTATGGGAATCTCATACGAGATGGACATAAGTGGTCCTTAGACTTGAAGTCATCACGGTTATCTCATTAGAGGATTTATGCACTTTGACACTCGTTTTAATCCACTTATGGGTCCTAATGGACCGTTTAAACATTTGACATATGCTTCACATCCCTAAATCTTAAAGAAAGATAAATTTTCTTTCTTTCCTTTCCATATCTCATATTGAGTCCGATCAACGAGACTTTGTTGGAACTTTATTCAAAATAAATGTCGCGGTAAGGAGCGTATATCCCCAAAATGATATTGGGATATCAGTTTGACTCATCATGGATCGAACCATATCTAATAGTGTCCTATTTCTCTTTTCAAATACACCATTCATTTGTGGCATTCTTGGTGGGGTCCATTGTGAGAAAATCTCATTCTTTTTTAATTGATCTAAAAATTCGGTGCTTAAGTATTCTCCACCTCGATTTGATTGAAGTGCTTTAATACTTTTACTAGTTTATTTCTCGACTTCAAACCTAAACTCTTTGAACTTTTCAAACACTTCAAATTTATGTCGCAAGAGATACACATAACCAAAACATGATCTATCATTGATAAAGGTATGAAATAATTATATCCTCCTCTAGCATGGGTGGAAATGGGCCAATGAATTGCCCATATGTAATACTTTAATGGGTTCATCGAAATGAGTATCTAAACATTTGACATATGCTTCACATTCTTAAATCTTATAAAAAGATAAATATGCTTTCTTTCATTTTCATATCTCATATTGAGTCCGATCAACGGACTTTGTTGGAACCTTATTCAAAATAAATGTCATGGTAAGGAGCGGATATCCCCAAAATGATTTGAAATGTCGGTTTGACTCATCATGGATCGGACCATGTTTAATAGTGTCCTATTTCTCCTTTCGAACACATTATTCATTTATGGTGTTCCGGGTAGGGTCCATTATGAAAGAATCTCATTCTCTTTTAAATGATCTAAAAATTCAATGCTTAAATATTCTCCACCTTGATCTGATTGAAGTGCTTTAATACTTTTGTCGGTTTGTTTCTCAACTTCAAACCTAAACTCTTTGAACTTTTCAAACACTTCAAATTTGTGTCGCATGAGATACACATAACCAAAACATGATCTATCATCGATAAATGTATGAAATAATTATATCCTCCTTTAGTTTAGGTGGATATGGGCTGACAAATTACCCACATGTGATACTTTAATGGGTCCACTCGAAACGAGTGTCAAAGTACATAAGTTCTCTAATGAGACAACTGTGATGACTTCAAGTCTAAGGACTATTTATACCTATCTCGTATGAGATTCCCATAGACTAAAACTAAATGGGTTATCATGGCGAGTCAAGTCCAGTGATATGTTCTCTAATATAAATCACCTAAGTGCTCACTTTGGCATCACCATGCTAATAGGTTTGAGATCTTATACTCGCTATGATATAGCATGAGCATAACACTCATAAGTTTATCCGTATATATTCAATGTCCATTCTTCATAATGCGACGACTTGGGATGTTTAATAATATTATTTATATACATTAGTGTTTATCTCATATTTTTTTATCAATCACTATTATAAATGCATGTTATAAGAACTTTTATCTAATTCTAGTGAATTTATAAACATAAAACACAAGAATTAATAGAATAATTTCTTTATTATTATTAAAATAAACAATACAATAATACATTAACTCAAGTCTATTCAAATATGGTTGGATCTTGGGCACCTACATTAACACTAAGGAATGATCGTATCATCTATATGTTTGATCTATACTCGTATGAGCTTCAGTTTGATCCTCGAGGAGTGATAGCTAGACCATTACTTATGAAAAAAAAACTCCATGTTTATGTTTAGGGACATACAATTTTACATGCAACAACACTTATTCGTATTAGGTCTACAAGTTATCAAAAATTATCTTTCCTTTAATTAATTTTTGGTCATGAGCCTAATATTTTTTATTTAAGGAATTTTTGATGTGCTTGTATATGTCCTAATTACTCCTCCATAACGAACTAAAATGGGTCCTCGGAGGAGATTGAGAATATATGTTAGATATGGATCTCTTTCTATAATTAAATATCTTGAACCATTAACGGGGATGTTTTTATAGCTCGATTTGCCAACTATCATTTTGATGACATAATTTTTCCAATATTAAGGGGAGAGAATGAGCGGAATAAGCGATTGAAAATATTAGAACAAGAAATTACCCGGAATACTTCATCCTTATATCATCTTAATCCTCATACAAAACAATGTGAACTTGAAGTTCAAAGGATAATTCATTTATAAAGTCTTTCAAATCAACTCGTCAAATGCATTCTTTGATCCAAATAAAGTAACTATATCACATTTTTCTGCCGAGAATAATCCTATTAGAATCGATGTTTTAATAGGACAACCTATTAATGTTATAACAAATGAATCTAAAGCACGTTTGAAGCATAGAAGACATATCGGTTTTAAAGATAAAAATCCTCGAAAGAAAAAAAAGAAAAAATAATCAAGATGAAAATATAAAGAAGGTAGATAAAACGATCCAAGATACTTTTGATAACGAGTTTTTAGAAGAAGCCCAAATGCTTGAGAAAAATAAATTTTTTTTGATAAATTACGTTAATACGGGAAGAAAATAGGATCGAAAAGAAACATTCATTGATAACATTTTTGCACATAATGTTATAATCGATATTTTAAATAAGGATCCCGAGCCTAAATCCATTGAAGAATATCGACATAAAGATGATTGGCCTAAGTGGAAAGATGCAATCCGAGTATTAATTAAAGTCTCTCACGAAACGAGCAATTTTCGGACTCATAGTTAAAATACCTAAAGATGTTAAGCAGTAGGATACAAATGAGTATTTGTGTGAAAAAAAAAGAAGAAAAGGATGAAATTGTGAGATACAAAACAAGACTCGTAAGCACAAGGGTTTTCACAAAGACACGGCATTTACTATAAGGAGACATATTCTCCTGTAATAAATACAATTATATTTCATTATCTTATTAGCTTGAGAACAAATGAAAAATTCATATGCATTTAATGGATGTGATCATAGCCTATTTATATGGTTCACCTAATAATTATATCTATATGAAAGTCTTAGAAGGACTTAAAATACCCGAAGCATGTAAAATATATTCTCGAGAAATGTATTCAATTAAATTACAAAGATCTCTATATGAATTAAAACAATCTAAACACATGTAATATAATTATTTTAGTGATTATTTATTAAAAAAGGTTATAAAAATAACCTAATTTGCCCATGTGTCTTTATAAAGAAATTCGAAAGAGGGTTTATGATAATTGTTGTATATGTTGATGATTTAAATATAATCGAAACTCCTGAAGAGATTCTAAGTGCCATAAATTATTTAAAAAGAGAATTTGGTATGAAAGACCTTGAAATTTTTTTTTATCTCGAGCTTATAGTTCGAACACTTGAAAGATGGAATTTTTATTCATCAATAAACATATATATATATATATATATATATATATATATATATATATATATATATATATATATATAAAGTACTACAATGATTCTATATGGATAAGGCTCATCCATTGACTAGTCCAATGGTAGTTTGTTCACTTAATGTACAAAATGACCCTTTTCGACCTCAGAAGATAACAAAGAACTTCTGGTCCCGAAATATAATACCTCGAGTGCAACTAATGCATTAATGTATCTTCCTAATGATACCCGACTTGATATAGCATTTTCTATAAATTTATTAGCAAGATATAGTTCTGCTCCAACACAAAGACATTGGAATAGAATTAAACATATACTACGTTGTCTCCGAAGAGCAATTGATATGGGCTTATATTACTCTAATAAATCAAAGATGAGAATAAATGGTTATGCGGATGTAGGTTATTTTTCTAATCCACACAAAGCTCAATCTCAAACTAATTATGTATTTACATATGGAGATACAACTATATCATGACATTCTATGAAGCAAAATATAAGCGTCACAACTTCAACCATGCGAAATACTAGCAATTCATGAGACAAGTTGAGAATGTATTTGGTCAAAATCAATAACCCATCATAGTCGAGAGACATGCGGTTTATCCACTAGCAAGGAAGTTTCAACAATCTTATATGAAGATAATACTACTTGCATAGCTCAATTAAAAGAAGAATATATCAAAGGTGACCGAATGAAACATATATCACTAAAATTATTTTTCACACATGATCTTTAATGGAATGATGATATTAATATTCGACAAATTCGATCAAGTGAGAATCCAACCGATTTCTTTGCTAAGATATTACCTACCACAACTTTTGAAAAGATGATTCACAAGATTGGAATGCGTCATCTTAGAGATCTTAAATAATGTTTTCAACAGGGGAAGACCAATATGAGGATTAATATGTACAATGAATATTGTATTTTTTTCTTCACTAGGATTTTTTTCCTATTGGGTTTTTTCGTTAAGGTTTAATAAAGCATGTTCCTTGTACAATGGACATTTAAGAAAGAGTATTATGAAATAATGAATGTCCATATGAATTTTCATTTACTTTTCATATTCCTACTACTTATGATTCTTAATATGATTCAATTAATCATTTAATATAAGAAATTGAAAGAATGATGCAATTGATTCAACAATTTATGTACTTTTAATTATTCATAGTCCCTTCCAATTCTCTTTTCAATTTTGAAGCTTACAAATAGATTTGATTGTTCATTAGTTGGTGTACAAGTTTTTGGAGAGATTAAAAGAATAGTTTGAAGTTCTTATCACTTGTATTCACTTTATTTTATAATGAATTCATTTCCTTATAATCTTTCTCTTCAATTCTCTTATTATTTCTATTTCCGTTATAACAGGATATGATTATCGTTTTAGAAAATGAAGAATATTAAATTCACTATTTAATCTTAATCAATTTTTTTAAATTTTTTTTAATATCTTTTTCTCCAATTTATCGATCAACGTGAAAATCAAATACAAATTTTTTACTCACTAGTTATGAAAGAGTAAATTATAAATTAATCCTTCTAATTTTTAAGATAAATTAAATAGTCTTTCTTGTTTAAAAAAACTAATTAATGAGTTTCTTAACTAATATTTGACCATAACTAATTAAATATTATCTTGTTCTAAAAATATCTTCTTGTTTTCATTAATTTTTTTTACTTATTTTATAACTTTTATATTTATTAAAAGAAAAAAGAAAAAAATCGAAAAGGAGCAAAAAGGATTAAGTTACAAAAAATTTAGAATTATAGAGACTAATTAATTATTTTTTAAAATTAGAGGGACTATTTAACTCTTGTGAAAAAACCAGAGGGACTAATTTATAATTTACTCCATAGAACTAGAATGGAAGAGTGCGGTAACTGGGCTGGGTTAAGTTCAGAAATAGTAGCAGTAGTAGTGTCAGCTTATCGCTGCTTTCCATTTGACCCTTAAATAAGCCCACTATACTTCTAACCAAGCCCTTTTATTTTATGAATTCGTATCGCCATGCCGAATGCTAACCCTTTCTTCCTCAGTAGCAGAAGAAGAAGAAAAAATGGGAATGGTAAGTAGAAGTATAGGATTGAGGAAAATAGGAGAAGCATTAAAGAAAGCGAAATCAGGATGGTACACCCTTCACATGGCAGCTGCCTCTCATGCCATTGCTCAAAGAATCCCATTAGCTGATTTCATTCTTGAAGTTAGGGATGCCCGGGTAACCAGTCAGCACCATACCATACCACACCAACTGTTTGATAATATGTCTTACTCAGTATTTATTCGTTTCTTTTAGATTCCTTTGTCATCCCACTATCAGCTGTTAAGCAACTTCCCGCCTTCCTCTCTTCGCCATATTATAGTAATGAACAAGACCGACCTTGCTAATCGTTCCCAACTCGAGGAGTGGACCAAGTATTTTGAGCAACAAAACTGCATTTCTTATGGAGTCAATTCCCATAACAAGGTCAACGTCAAAGAGGTTGCCTTTCTTTTCTTCACTACAGTCTACATACAGAAATATTTCTCTCTTTTTTAGCCCGCAGTACGTAATCCCTGTTCACCAAGGGTTGATGGATACTACAAAGCCACATTGATGTAGTTTAACTTCCAGGCGGTTGCTGTAAATAAAACTCAATGCTCAAAATATCAATGACATAATCTTGCGAAATTGTTCACAAAGCTTCCTCGTGATCAAAATGACTGTTAAAAAAAATTCATTTTTATATGAAGTTGACAGTATTCTAGCTTGACTTCGCCTTCACCTCATTGAACTTTTAGTACAGTTTTGTTTTCCTCCTGTTATGATTTTTCTTGTTATTGTTGTTTTTTCTTTAGCAATTTATGATGGATCACTTTCTGCAGTTCCTTAATTTCTTACAAGCCCATGTAAGAGAATTGAAAAAGACCGATCATTCTGGTCATACCACAACAATGATGATAGTTGGGATACCTAATGTTGGTAAGTCGGCTCTTGCCAACTCTTTGCATCAGCTTGGGAGGATTGGCGCTGCAGGTAATTCAACTATCTTAATTCTTATTGCATTGTTGAATTACAGTGGAAAATTCTGATTACATTGGCTTCTGTAGAGAGAGGAAAGTTGAAGCATGCAACTGTGAGTCCTCATCCCGGAGAAACAAAAGACATCAGCAGCTTGAAGGTAGGTAGCCTTTCCTTACATTGTGACATTCTTTGTAGTCAAGAAATCAAGGAAAGGGAACAACATTTTGAATCAAAGAACTCTTTGTGGATGAAATTGATTTTTGATGTATTCTTTAAATCAGAAAACCCATTTGGCTGACTGCTTCTGAAAATAATTGCTGGAAAGCTTGTATCCAATAACACTTGGTTTTCTGTTTTCTTTTTTTCTGTTTTGGTTATTATTATTCACAGGGGGTACCATTTTAAACTTTCAGAAACCATTTTGACAACACTTCTGTTTTTTAAGTTTATATAAACTATTTTAGGGCACTGTTTAAAATATGATTCTCATATTTTCACCATGCAAACAATTTTGATCATTGTTTTATCCTTTTGCTTTCAAAAATACGGCTTAAGAATAAAAGACTGTAACCAAATGGGCGTATAATACCTACTTGCCCATAGTTCTCTATTCCTTCCATTTATCTGCATCCAGTTGCCATATTTTTATTGAAATTTGCCTTTCATTGTCCAGATTGGTAGCCATCCCAATATTTATGTATTGGATACCCCAGGGATTTTGCCTCCCCAGATTCATGACTCTGAAGTCTGCTCCAAACTAGCTCTAACAGGTGCAACTATGCTAATCCTTTCATTCAGCCTTATAAAATGAGTGATATGTTTATCCTCTTAAACTTTCAATTGTTATGAAGGCCTCTTGATCAGCTTATCCATATGGTTGTATAGTTTAGGATTTTGAGAGACTTTTGAATTTTCAAAATTTTCCTCAATCTCAGCTGAGGTCTTTATTTCCCTAAAAGCAGGAGCAATTGAAAACTTGGTTGGGGAAAAAGAACTTGCTCAATATTTTCTTGCTATTCTCAACACAAGTGATGAATACAAGAAATGGGAAAGGTTATCCACACACGGAAATGACAGATCATTTACAGGGAAGGAAGTGGATGGCTCAAGTGGCTCAAATTTGGACACGAAACAAAAAAAGCAATATCCCTCTGATCACACACAGGTATTACTATCTTTTGTTTATTTGAAAGAAAAACCCGGGGGTGGGGGCGCAGGGGGAGTATAAAAACATAACCAATGGTTATAAGTTGACATTCATCTTTCTTCTAAATGGGAGATTATTTGGGAAAGGTTTCTTTGGCTTGATTGTTGTCATGCAGATAATAGAAGCTTATGATGATGCTTTATTTAACTGAATTGCTAGTGTTCTTCTAGGAACTAATTGAAAGAGAGGGTAAAGAATTGAAAGGATTATGGGAAGAATTTGACTGGTGTAGTGAGGACAGATGGGGAAAGGCTACTCTAGTTGCAGGAGATTGAGGAACTGTATATATATATATATATATATATATATATACAGAGAAAATAATTTGAAAGGAATAGAGATAACCACCATTTCCATACCTGTACGTTTTCAGGATTTCTATTCGAATTACTTTAATTTTTCCTAGTTGACTTCTCATATGCAATTGTTCAGTAAATAGCTTATTTAAATAGACAGCTCTGTGCCTCTGTAGAAGGGGATCTGCAGAATTGTTGTTTTTACCCTTTCCTTGTTCTTTGTAACTTTCAAAATGTTCATTTTTTATTATTTTCTCTAGATGTTCGGCATAAAAGAAACTGTAGATATTGAACAATTCATGTTCTGAACTTGAAATTCAAAATTGATGTGTCTTTAGACTGTGGCAAAAGGTCAATATTCATATGATCCTCTGCGGTTATTCCCTCATTCTCTTCTCCTCATCTATAAGTAGGTGGTAGTCTGCAGGCATGAATCCATGGTATCGGTCCCAGCTATAGCCTTACGTACTGTAAATGTGTAATTTAACAGTAATCCAAGAAAAAAAAAAATACATCTATCTATGCACATCAAGCAATTATGTGATTATATGACTTTGTTTCATTTTGTTTCTTCCTATTCTGAGAATGAAATTTGCTATTGTTCATGCAGGATTTCATGGTGCATAGGGTACGTCGGACTTTGTTTGAATCTATTTCTGGTTTAGATGGAAATGTACAAAATGAGAAGGATTTGGAGGAGCTAATCGAAGTGCAATTCACATCGTTGAGAGAAGCTTTCCAGTTGTCTTTGGATCCTGGAAATGATGCTCAAACCAAGATTTCTGCTAAGTTGCTCAATCTCTATCATACTGGGAGGCTTGGACATTACACTTTAGATCCTCTTCCTTCGCAAAGTTAGTTTTCCAAGCCTGTATAGCAACAATAAACAGTAAAGTCAGTTTGGTTGGCAACTCTTTGTTGTGTTGAGATACATTATTTATGTTCATTTAATATCAAGGACACTTGGCACAAGTTTTGAATGAACGTAAAAATTTTGGGTCTTCAGGTCTAATGTATAAATAGGCTCCAGGGTGTGCAGCACCGCAATCTTCTCGCCTTCTTCCTATAAACATAATCCTGAACAACTGGACTCCCCTGCATTCTCTTCATTTTGAAGTAAGTCAGCTACCTGGTTATCTCCAATTATCGTTTGGTTATCCATTTTTCAACAACTTGCGTAGCTTCAAGTTTGGTGACACAGATAGTTTCCTATCTAATTTGCACATAACTTTAAGTTTGTCCAGCTAAACATTTCTAAACAAGGCCTGCAAGGTAAAAACTCATCTTCACATAGAGGGGGCTAGGCTACTTAATCTATCATTAAAACGTAAGCCCAAGAGAGAACCTTTTAAAAAATAACCCATGTTACGCTAGTCGCTTGTTTGTAAAAGCTGGCAGCTTTGCTAGAAGCAACCTGAGTTTTACTCTGCCATTTGTTGAAGTCATAAGTAAAAAAAATAGAACTCCGGTACCCCAATCTGATTGGTTAATTTTAATTTTAAACGAACTGAGAATTTTTCTGATGGAAAATTTTGAGACCTGACCTCGTCCATTATGGTAGACATTTCTCATCAGTATGAAACATGCACGATGGAGGCAAAGATCATTCAAAGGGTTGCTGATGATGACAACTAGGTTTTTGAATTAGTATATTTTGTATCATGTGGGAGATCTCACCTCAGTATTACTTCAACAATAACTGGGCAGCTCCATTTATCTTTATTTCCTCCTTTTTTTGACCGGCTTATTAATTCTTAGCTCCACATGGATGGCTTATTAGTTTGATTACTTTAAGTCAATTTGTAATTAAACGGAGTTTAGACCAATGAGATTAACATGATTTTTGTAAGCCTGCTAACCATCACATCTATCTTAATCAGTCAATAAACTAATGCTAGTTTTGACAAAACAAGCAAATACTATATTACTCCCCGTAAATGGCAAAACAATCAGTTGTTACTACCTGGTCCCCTATAGGTTTGTTTCAGCAGCTGAGACCTATAGCTAGGGAGTATATATTTATTATTATCATTACTATTTAAAAGATAGGTGACATTACAGAGTATCACACCATCTATTTATGTCGTAGTCGAAGGTTAGGATTTTTTCGAGAATAACTATGATTATGTGTGAAAATATAACAAGACCACTGCTGGAAGTTATGATAAATGATAGGTGAGATTTCATAAGTAATCATTCTAAAAGAAACCTATTTACCAACAAATTATTAATCTAGTAGTAAAAGTTAATCTTCAAACAAATTTTTTCTTAATGCGTAGAATTCGAATTATGAAATCATATTTGTTGGAATAGACTAAATTTTATCGTTTTTGTTTTGAATAAAATTAGTTTTATCTCCAAAGCGAGATGTAAATACTTGAAGGGTAAAAAAAAAAAAAAAAATACTTTCTTGTTGCTGTACCAATTGTTGGCTAGTATATAATTATTGATGTGTGCGAGTGGAGCAGCATCTGTAGAAGTGATTAGCTCAAAGTATGTATTTGCATATGCATATGTCATTAGCCAGCTTAATTGTCCAATGAATAATAATTATTAGAGGTAGCCCCAAACCAAGAAATATGTCATTAATTAGACAGAGACAGAGGGTCAACAAGGCAGCTCAACAGCCCGCAAACAGAACTTAATTTTGAGGTTTTGAAATATTAGAGAGAACATGTGAAAGTTGGTCGCAGTCGTCGCCGGTGTTTTGTATGTCAAGGTTTGAAAATATTACAATACATACATACATATATATGTATATATGTATATATATATATACACACACATAGTAACATGATTTTTTATTTATTTCGAGATAAAGGTATCTTCATACGTATAGATACATATTTGTCTACGTTTAATCTTTTTACTTTCTACATACATACTCTTCTTTAAAGTCAACCCTTGCTCCAAAATGGTCGGCCCATAAATTTCCAAGTTTTGAAAAGAAATGCAGCTCTAGCTTGCTGATTCGTGTTTCAATATCATTCCCTTTTATTGGGGTATTTCACAGTTTTGACTTTTTGTCTCTGAAGAAGCTAGAAATTTAAAGTACTTATTCCAACTCCATCGCACATCAATGTAATTTTGACTAAAATGATATATATATCCCAAGTCATAGTATTTTTAGATTAATTCGTCGAAGAAACTAATTAAATTCTTTTTTTCGACAAACTTAATTAAGAACACATCTCCACGTTAGTTTTTGAAATTAGAAAAATAAATACTCATTACTTTCCCATATTATTGTTGGAGTTGATCAGCCAACATCACACCAATATTGGAATTCAAATATTTTTTTATGAGATATATAAGTGATTATAGAAAATATAATTAAAAAGATGACATGCATGAAAAGTTGAATTTGAATATACTACTACTAGTAGTAGTAAATTGCGGAAATGATCCTATGTTGAGTGGGTTTCCATGTTATTGTCTAAGAAGATATATAACAGCTTGCAGAAGGCATCATTTATATATTTGACTTTGATTTTTTTAATATATTAATTTCCCTTGTTCTTGAATATTTAATATTATTACCATTTGACGGTATACCTTTCTTCCTTTCTTATCTCTAAAAATAAATTAGCTAGATTAATATTGTTAATGATGTCAGGTAGCTAGCTAGCTAGTAGCTAGCGTGTGGTTAATTATATAAATATGCATGCAAGATAAAGTTTTTGAAGCTACCGATCCAATTTTATTGCTGATCAGAAGACTATAACTATATGGAGAGGAAGATTAAGGTTGGTGATTCTTCAAGCATGGATGATGATGAAGATAACATTTGCCCAGCGGAATTCAGATGCCCCATTTCCATGGAGCTGATGAAAGATCCTGTCACCATCTGCACCGGCGTGACCTATGACCGCAAGAATATCGAGAAATGGTTCTTCGCTTACAAGAAGAAGATTTGCCCAGCTACCATGCAAAGCATCCACAGTTTCGATGTCACTCCTAATCATACCCTCAACCGACTCATTCTTGATTGGCAGCTTAGCAAGCAGTATAACCAGCAGCACGACTCTTATTCTCCATCATCCTCCTCCTCATCATCGTCGTCTCCATCACCATCATCATCATCATCACCATCAGTGAAGCAGCTGCATGATGAGATGCTTTCATTGCTCCACACCATTGACTCATCACCCTTCAAGGTAACTCCTCTTCGGAAACTTCGATCTATTCTAGAAATGGGAGATCACATTCATCCAAGTAGCAATATTTATATGATCAGAAGAGATTTTATTAGATTTGGTGGGGTTGAAGTGCTTGTTCAAATACTTGTCCAAATCCTTGTGGCGGAGATCAGCTCCGAGTTTGTCACTTTCAGAGCTTGTGAGGAGGCTTTAGGGGTTCTCCATCTACTCCCCTTAATATTCTCTCAAGACTCCAATCATCAGGAGCTGGAAGAGAGAGCATTCCAATTACTGTCAAAACCTGAATCCATGAAATCAATCGCAATCGTGCTTCAAAAAGGAAGCGCGGAGGCCAGGTTTTACACCATTTCCATCTTCCGCAAGATGGCTAAAAATGGTTACGACTGGAATGGTCTGCTAAGATCAGATCATCTAGGTGGCGGTGGCAATTGCGGTGGCGTCGACTTGTTCAAATCTTTGTTAGAGATTGTATCGGATGAAATTTGCAGCAAGGCAAGCTCATGCGCCTTGGAAGTACTCATTCAGATGCTGGATTCATCTAAGAAGAGCCGATTAAGGGCGATCGAAGCCGGTGCTGTGTGTGTTCTTATTGAGTTGCTTCCTGATTCCAATGGATCAAAATGTGAGAAGATATTGCTTTTGATCAAATTGTTATGTGAATGCGCCGAGGGAAGACTTGCCTTGGTGGAGCATGCCATGGGAATTGCTTCAGTTTCCAAAAAATTATTGCACGTCTCTAACACAGCCACTAAGTTAGGAGTGAAGATATTCACGTGTTTGCTTTCTAGTTTTCATCCAACGGAAAGGGTTTTGGAGGAATTGCTGATCTGTGGATCTGTCAAGAAACTTGTGGGATTGCTGCATATGGATGGACGATCATCCACCAAGGATAAGGTCATCAAAATGTTCAAGTTGCATGGTAATTCATGGATGCGGTACCCTTGTTTTCCTCGTGAATTGAAGGATTATTTGGGTTTAGTAAATAATGCTTAATTCCAATGTCTAAATTAACAAAAATTGGATGATCAGGAGATGTTGATTTTCAAATTTAAGTAATCCCATGGTATATTAATTTCATCAATTTGTTATTTAATTCATTTGAACCGGTAAATAGCTGCTACTTTGTGTAATTTACATGTCTATTTGAATTTTTTTATTAATTACATACATACTCCCCTTACAATTTTGCATGACTAGTTTTGCTTTATGGTTGTCACTTTTGTTTTGTTTTGTTTTTTCTTTGGAATTATTGTCATATATATATTTCTTTGTTTCGAGAAATGAATCAATTAGTCTAATTTCTTTTAAAAACTAATCATATAATCTCTTAAATTTTAATTCCATACATAATTTAGTCATTTTATCAATTTTTTATTAGATTAAAATTTTTTTAATTATCCTTCTTCTTTTTTTTTTTTTTTATTGAGAAGACGGAAAGAATAAGACATGTCTATGAGACTAAGGAATGGTTGGAACGAGAAATTTTATAATACTCAAGGAATAACTAATATAAATTATTTTATAAAAAAAGATAGATACAAATAGGAGAGAGAAATAAGAGAGAAATTTTTTTAAAAAAGTAAGTTAATATAAAAATCTTCTTATTACTTTTGACAGTGTTGATATAATTTTTTTTTATATGTTTATCTCTCTCCTAAAAGATAAACCTATAGAGTATCTACTTTATATATCCATTAATTATTTCTTAAATATTATAAAATTTCTCGAGCTAGAAATAAATGAGTGGATGGCCGGAGGAGATCTCCTTTCCCTTAAGCCGTATGAATAATTTAAGCTCCATTTCCTGCCTGAAAACAAAAGAAAGATAGAAAGACCAATAACAGAGCTAATGCGGCATCAAAGAAGAGTAACTAAAAAAAACTATTAATCCAACAAAAAATTAATAAAAAAATTAAATTGTTGACAGAATTAAATATAAAGAACTAAAAATTAGTTTTTAAAATTAAAAAAAAAACTATATATATATTCTTTTATAATTAAACGGACCATTTAATTACTGATCTCCGTGTTCATTATATCACTAATTAAAACTTGTTTCTCATTTCTTTTCAATCCTTAATTTTCTTCTTATCCTCATCTTTCATTTATTTGTGACTGCAAAAATTAAATGGAAGGCAACGATTTGTTTTTCCTTTTTTTGAGAACTAAAAATCAAGCTAAAAATCAGTAGGTCTCTTTATTTACATATCCACTGCTGTATAACATTCTTTAGTACCAACTTTGTGTCGCAAAAAATAATTCAAAGAAGAAATATTTAGATTGATTAATGGTCAGTTCATTTTCCAAAGAAGCATTATTAAAATTGAAAGACATACCTAGTATTTTACAACTCAATATTTCATTCATTTAAATTAAGACAGAAAATATGTACTAATTAATTAATTAATAATATATCACATATTAAAATTTGATATGATTTTTATTTTTATTTTCATATATTGTTTTCGCCTAATTAACGTGTACGTGAACTATCCATTCCTAACATGTTGAATACAAGTCCTGATATTATGTTACTTAAATTGGGCTAAAACGTCCAAGTACTCTGTGTCATAAGCTATTTAGATTGACAATTTGTTAGAATTTTTTCTTATCTTAACCTTAATTTGAACGATATTATATTTTGATTAACCACCATTTCATCATATTCTATCTATTTTTCTCTTCAATAACATGTAAGTAGTTCATATTAATTAATATCATAAAATATTGGTCGAATACATTATATTCCGCCAAATATCATGATACAACTTTTATTTACAATATGATACAATTATTTATTATCGAGAGATAAAACCTTAATAGTTTTATGACTTTTTGATACTTTTTAAGAAACAACATGTAACTTTCATGTGATATTTAACAGTTACATAACAACGAGATATCAATTAAAACGCCCTATATATAATTCAAGGGTTGAAATCAGGCGAAAAAGAAAACTCAAGGAGCAGGAGTGTAAACCAAAATAGCTTATATTTTTTAGATTTTTTGTACGATTTAGCCCATAAATTGCCCATACAATACTCCATAAGATTTTCGTGTTGAAACATACGTACAACGGTACAAGTGCTTCAACATATCTTGCAACGCAGTTTCTGAAGAAACATATTTTATATGCAAGGTTGTCGAATATGAATCTAGGCATTTCCTAATGATCCTTGGAATTCAAAAATGAATCAATCAATCATCTCCATCCCTCTATCCTTTGACCTGTTTCTCAAATTAACGCCACCCTAAATAAAATCTACGCTAAATGATACAAAAGCATCTTAAACTTTTGTCAAATTGAGATGTGCTTTTTAACATTTTTAAAATTTTAATATAACCATAATTATTTGTTGATAAATAATAGGTTCTTCCGACTAGGTTTTTTTTTACTCTAACTGCACATGGAAATCACACAAGAAGTTTTAAAAAAGATATGTCTCACTAATTAATATTTTCAAACATGTGACATGTTTTAAATTTAGGATAGTAGAACAATCATTTTTTTAAACTATCACGTGACCTCCATGTGCAATCAACCTTGAAAAACTAGCCAAAAGAAACGATTATCTACCAAAAAATAGTTTATGATAGTCTAGTTCATGATGTTTTAGTACCATTTATCTTAAAATCTAGTTTAACAACTGCAAAGCATGCAGTCACGCATCACTCTTCATAAAATGGATATAAATTGAAGTTGAATGATTAATTCAGCATTTAAATATGAATATACCCCTCTTCTACCGTTCTTTACTTAAAAGTGTTGCTGTCTTTGTTCACATGTTGAAGTCAGGTTTGTCTCTTCAGAGATGATAATCAGAAAAAATCAAAGTTAATTTGATAGAACGAGGCTAAGAGGATCAACTTTTTATAGGCGTAATATGATTGTGACTGTTACAAGTCAACCAGAATCTTAGTTGAACCACCAGAACAACCAATTCACAATTTGCAAATATCTGGATCGGTTTTTTTCTTATTTTTTTTTTACGGAGGCCTTAAAATATATAGGTAATAATATATTCTATAGAAAATGGTGATTATGATTGCATTTGTTTATTTGAGTATGTTCAATATTCATAAATAAACATCAGAGTTCATGAACTACCTGCAAATTACCAAATAATATTCCCCTCGAGCTTGGACTTCACTGGTAGGTGGGAAGTGATGCTCAAAGCTTTGCAATGGCATGTCCAGGCAAGTTGAAACGAGCAGGAAGCTTTAAATCTTCCCATTCTTGATCATCCACTTTTGAGAAGTATTCCTCAACCATAGCATCACTAACGAGATCCCACTGAGAAGGTTCCCACTGAAAAAGAAATGGGAAGGAAATTTTGATAAATGATCAGGGAAGACCAAAAAGAAATCTCCATATAGAATCTTGAAAGGAAAGTTATAGAGGTTAAAGGATCTAAGATGCAGAGATAAAGAAAGAGATTATTATACCTTTGGGTTCTTATCCTTTTCCAACAGTATAGCTCTACAACCCTGCATTATAAGTAAGGTCTAAGAGATATTCTCAAGAAAAAATAAAAGGTAGAAAAAAGAAATATTGGACTCAGCTGAAAACCAACCTCAAAGAAATCCTTGCTAAGCTTTCCCCGCATGACATGACAAACCATTCTATATTCTCGAACAAGACATTGACCAACACCTTGAAGCCTGCCTTCTCTAATCTGGAAGCATAGCACCAAAGCCAACTTTTAAGTGCAATACTATAAGCCCCTCAATCACATAATATCCGACTGCTGTCTCTATCTTATATTGGAAAAGGTATTCTTCAGATCCTACAGTTTCTCTAAATATCAATCTTATCCCTCGATGTTCAATTTAAAAACTTCAAATCTTTTAGTGTATTGATTATGCATGCCAATGTTCATGGCATCTAATTTCACAGATGGACGAAAAAGATCCACAAATTCAAATGTCCTAAAAAATGGAGGTGGGTGTTGTGATCCTCTCAAACCAGGTGTGACATACAGAATATTTTGTTCTTTTATTCAAATAACTTATATAATAATTTTTCTATCAAGAAAAAGATGAAATAATTTCTTTCAGAGGTATGCTGCAGTCGTACTGATTTAAGAGAGATTTTAAGACTTGTAGGAGAAGCCTTTTTCAGGGATTGAATGGCTGCAGATAACCAATCATCTACGATATTCACAGCTTCCTGCTCCTGCAAGATAACAAGCATGGGAGGTCGATTTACTACCAAAAGTCATATCCATGGCGGCACAACTCACCACAAATGAAGAAATAGTGTAAAAAGCAACTATCATACACATCATGAAGATAACTTTGAACTAATTTTCTCTGAATAAAACATTTCAACATCATCAACTTACAAGGGCAGACAAAATCGCTTCAACTGTTCTCAGAGAAAAGCATCTGTCAATAACATCGAACCTACGACCAAGTAATAACTGAAAATGAGGATATGAGAAACATACAGCACTCTAGATTGACACTTTTTGTACCATGAAGAAAAAATATTCATTTTGATGAACTACATAGTGCATAACAGAACTCTTTGCATATATTGACATGATTTGACAAACTAAATCAAAACATTTTGGAGTAAACTTCTCAGAGGAAATGAGCGAGATTAGTAGAGTTTGTGAATGAATCTAGCTTAAGGAACTGCTCTATCGTTAGATGTATGCTCATCTCTGGACAAGCAAACAATACTAAGAACTAACAAATCTAACAAACTTCAGAGCATTTTTATGGGAGAAAAATACCCATTTAGTTATCAAGGAATGAAGTTGCTAAACCAGTTTGGACTAGAATCCAAAACATAACCATTAAGTAGAACATGTCAAGACTAACTCCTGGACGGTCTCCATAAATACTCAGGAAATAAGTTGACAATGAAACCGAACAATTAAACACATGAAGAAATATCTAGACTTAAACAGATCACACTTGCACATGCCCTCAGCTAGCTGCATTGTACTGACAAATGTAGTCTGTCATGACATGACAAAGCTTTCACACACATTGTAGAATAAATTAGACAGAATAAGGTTGATGAATGTCAAATTAAAAGCTCACCGATTGCAAGCACTTTCTCTTTCAAATATGGTCGCTCAGAGCATTTTTATGGGAGAAAAATATTCCATTTAGTTATCAAGGAATGAAGTTGCTAAAACAGTTTGGACTAGAATACAAAACATAACCATTAAGTAGAACATGTCAAGACTAACTCCTGAACGGTCTCCATAAATACTCAGGAAATAAGTTGAAAATGAAACCGAACAATTAAAGACATGATGAAATATCTAGACTTAAACAGATCACACTTGCACATGCCCTCAGCTAGCTGCATTGTAATGACAAATGTTGTCTTTAAGGACATGACAAAGCTTTCACACACACTGTAGAATAAATTAGACAGAATAAGGTTGATGAATGTCAAATTAAAAGCTCACCGATGATAAGCACTTTTCTCTTTCAAATAAGGTCGCTCAGAGCATCCATCAATAATTGCTGAAATTGCAGCTGGATCACTGGAGTCTAACTTGATCAATCCTTCTTCTAACAGAGGCAATTTCTACCAATCAAGAAAGTCTCCTTTTAAGAAAAGAGAAAATGTAAACAAGAAAAGTACTCCAACAATTAAGAAAGAAAATTTGAACACCTAGCAGTGATGGAGCACCAATTAAATGCACTCTGAAACACTGGAATGCATATTAACACATCAATTTTTTTATCAAACATGACAAACTGAAAGAAAGAATTTTTCAGAGTGTATGAAACAACATCGTACTAACAATAAACTTAAATGGAGAATGATAAGGCTTTGAACTTTAACAAATACATTCAGATTAGTTCCACATCTGATATATCTCAGCTTGCACTATAACTCCATAAGGTGCGGGTTTATTTTTCAGCATTTGATTGATTCCAACAAATCAATTAAACTTCTACATAGCCTCAGCTTAATTCTGAGGTCAATGGCTCTCTATCAGTGAAAACAGATGCTAAAACTTTTCAAGGTTGTTTACCACCATTAAAGATTCCATTAATATCGATAAAATGAACGTGATCAACTTATCAGCAGCTTCATATAGATAAAATGAAGTCAGAACACAAGCAATGAAGCTTAAATTGTTGGGTAACTCAAATTGTTTAAGTAACTTGATTTAGTAAATTCTAGATCAACTTAGATTCTGCACGCATGATATGTTTGTCGACTAATATTATTAGAGAACAATATAAAACTATTCTTAGAGCCTCACCCAATAGCTTAAGCTTCGGGTTCAGATGGTTCTTTGACATGGTATCAAAGCCTTGATGACAAAAAAGTCACTAGTTCGAATTCCATCACCCCCATTTTCTCTTCTAATCAGGCACAAGATATTGGTGGGCATGTGCATGTTTCAAGCTCAAAGGGCTTTCACTTGAGAAGGTGTGTTAGAGTATAATGTAAAATCATTCTTGGAGCCTCCCCTAACAGCTTAAGCTTTTAGGTTGAGATGGTTCTTTGACAAATATTACCATGAAAGTAGAGAAGCAATCATAGTCTCCACGTCATGGCTGATACACAAACAAATACATGTTGCATGTGTTATCACCACTAGAAACAAGATATTTTACTTTTGTTCTTTAATTTTAGTGCGGACGTATTTTAAGATTTTAGTGCAAAGGAAATACCGCAGATGGGACAAAGTGAGTTGCAAGGCCACACGCAAGCATTTCGGCACCATCCAACCTTGCGCCTGTAAGCCCAACATATTCTCCTGCCACAATATGCAAAATGATGATTCTAATGAACAAATGAGATCCAAATCTATAAATTTCACAACAAGCAAGATAAAATAACATTCCCATGCATGCAAAAGATAGATTTAATAAAACATTTGATAAATTCTCAAAAAGCTTGATTTTGATTTTAAAATATGAAAAGAGTGAAAGTTAATTAGTAGATAGATTTAGAGTTCCAGCTGAATTTGTTGTCATCAACTGAAGTGGAAATTCATATATTTTTTGTTTGAGTGAACAGCCACTAAATTCTGCTTCTTCAGTTCTTTACTTTAAAAAAGTCGCTGTTATAACTCCAGCTCGTTGGGCAGAAGGTTTTTTGTGTTTTCTTTTTTCCCAACTCATGTCTTTTCAGATCAATTCAAGGCTCCTAAAGTATTCCAGCCACCATGCAAACCATCATATTGAGCAAGGAAACCTAAACACAACTTTAAAAGGGCAGTACTAAATGATATTACTTCCATGAATCCATGAAAGCATAACAGTGTCTATTCCCTAAAACCTACACACTAAAGAAGCAGCTGAACTTCATCATCTTCCTTTCTAGAAAATGAAAATGAAAATGAAAACATCATTAGCAAAAAAATATAGTATAAGCCTTTAAAACAAGAATATAAGTGTCATTACCAAAGAATCCAGGAAGTCTTGACAAGAAATAAGAGGCACCTACATCAGGGAAGAGTCCTAGAGCTGTTTCAGGCATTGCAAAAACCTACAAAATGTAACAATAAATAAGGTTATCAAACAAGGCCTTCATTCTCTAGGATCAGCAATAACTGAGCAACATAACTGAAGACAATCAATGGCAAATTGATTGATTAGCAAGAGAGATTCCTCTAGTCCTCAAAACTTAAATAAAGAGCAAAAGATATTTACTGAATTCTCAGTTGCAACACGGAATCTTCCATGTATCGAAGCTCCAGCCCCACCTCCCATGACAATTCCATTAAGAATCGAAACCTTGAAGTGAAAAGATAATTAGAGATGTCATTATTGAGAAATTCATTTCATTCAGAGTTTAAAAAAAAAAAAAAAAAAAAAAAGAGCTAGTCACCTGCGGTTTAGTGTATGTTGCCAGGATGTAGTTAAGAGTAAATTCCTTGCAAAAGTATTCGGCACCAGATTTCCAATGATCTGATGCATTGTATAGATCAAATGAGAATGTTCAATATTTGTAAGTAATAAATAGTATAAGGAAAGGAAATGCAACCTTTGCTAATATCGCGAACCACGGCAGCAACATCACCACCAGCACAAAAAGCTCTTCCACTTCCCTACGAAAAAAGCAAAGAGGCATCTGTGAATTACTAGGAAACACAGAGTAAGATACAGGAAACACACATGAATTAATAGGAAATAGTAAAGTACCTTGAGGATAAGGAACTTGACATTAGGATCCCCCTCATAAGCAAGGAAGAGCTCTAATAAACGAGAAACCTACAATTTTATTTATTTTTACTATCATTTTAAATATAAATAGCAAGTACTAGAGTTTAAAAAAAATATAAAAAATAACACGATACCATTTGATAGGAAAGGGCATTCAATTGCTTTGGCCTGTTCAATATCAAGGTTTTTGAAAAGGAGTTGTCTTCTACTAGAACCTGAGAAATCAAATTCATATTATTTAAAAAAAATTATAATCAGAAAGCAAATATGAATTTTCAAAAGAAATTATCATTTCTTCAATTCTCTGGAAAAAAGAAAGGACAAATTAATTATTAAAAACTAAATAAATGAAGAAGAAAAGAGAGGTATGAGCTACCTGGTCGAGGAGCTGGGGCTGGGGTTTGGAGGAAGCGAGAGAATCCATTCTATCTTGTGTTCAATTGCGTTTCAGTGTGGTCTTCAAATACTGTCCTCCTTCTCCTTCCTCTGATCGATTTATGTGCTCTGATTTACACCGTCTATCTATGACATGAAATAATTAAATATAGTTTGCCCGGGTTAAAAAGTTTAACAACTGCTCCAAGGAGGCTTGAGGTACGTGGAGAACTAGAGGTAGAAGTTTAACTTTGGATAGGTTTTTTCATTAAAAAAAAAAAAATTCGTTTACTAGAGATTCGAGGGGTTTTTCATTTTTTTTTCCGAAGATTTCGTTTGAATTAATTACTTTCTTCGACTTTTATTGAAGTTTCAATTCTTTCTTTATATCTGCTAAACTAACCTCACGTGAATAATGATATGTTATTTTTAATATTTCTCAATTGACTTCTTAATATATTCATAAAAAATAAAAATATATAGAAAATAGTGTTATATCTCAATTATGATATTTTTAATGTTTGAGATTATGAATTATAATATGATTTGAAGGATTAATATGGAATATTCAATAATAATTTGGACAAAAGTATATATAGCCTATTAGTATTATTTATTTTTTTATCTGAAAAAGACTGGTATCAAGAATTATAATTTTATATATAGACAATTTTTTAATATTATGTTCATTTGCAACAAAATATTATCTTTGTGCAGCAATAAAAAAAACATGATTATATTATTAATTTTATTATGTTAAATTTTACTTTTTATGCTATTAACATTTTTTTTTTTTTTGAAAACGAGAATATAAAAAAAAGATACCAAGTTATGTTAAATTTTTTTCTTTCCATCAAGAGCTATGTTAACTTGATATTAAGTCATCATAATTTCAATAGAATATGAAAGATTTATAATTTGAGTTTATGTATTTTTATTAATATTTTTTATATGTTAAAATTTTATAAATTTAAGAAAAATTAAATAAAAAATATAATTCTAATTGAAAAAACAAGATAGCTAATATGATGGAGGAATGTAAGCTTAAATAAGACTTTTTTAAAACTTTAGAAAGACAATTGGAATATAAAAATACTTTATCATTAGTTATATGAGTTTAAATGATGAAAGGAAACAATTGAAACATATGAAAATTAAAGAGCGTGATTGATATAAACAAAATGTCATGAGAGAAATTGAGAAACAAGATGGTTTATATGATTGAGGAATGCAAGCTTAAATAAGACTTTTTTAAAACTTTAGAGAGTCCATTGGAATATAAAAATATCACATCATCAGTTATATGAGTTCAAAGAATGGAAGGAAATAATTGAAACATATGAAAATTAAAGAGAGTGATTGATACAAACAAAATATCATGGGAGAAATTGAGGAACCTCTTAAACCTCATAAGAAAAATTAAGCTTTACTTCATATATATATATATATATATATATATATACACACACATGAGAGGTTCAAACTTGAAATTTATTATGAGAATGAAAATGTTAATGTCGATGGAGGTTAGCTTAAATTAACGCTTTTAGTAAATTCTTATGAGTATTTACGAAAAATAATGGAGGAGGATGTATTAAGATTTTCATTTTAGTTTTTAACGTAATGCATTGCTTTATATTTTAACTAGCCAAGTAATCTCTTCTTACGTTAACAGACAACTTTTTTTGTATGTGATTTTATTGTTGATAAAATATAAATTTTTTTATACGTAAATACATAATTTAACTTTTTTGTTTATTTTTCACTGACATATAATTGTTAGTAATTCATGTTATAATTATAAGAACTAATCATGCATAATAATAATTATAAAAGAAACTAAAATAGATGGTGTTTATCTACTGTTCACTGTGATTCAATGTAATGTGGGCATTCACTTATTTACGCTATTTAGTCTCCTTTACTGTTTTTTTAGCCATTTATTGCCTTTTACAGCCACTTCTTGCAGTTAACTGCTTTTTTTTTTTTTTTTGATTTTTCTCTTTTGTGCATTAAATGCTTGCAATTGATGGCATATTTTTTTGGTCTTTTTTTTTTCCTTTATATTTTTCTTATTTATCTTTTATGTCATTAAGTGACCTTGTCATTATGCTTTCGCATTTTTTTTTCCTCTTTGCATTTCCATATGTTTTTTTCCATAACTTTTTAAATCCATCATGAAGAGTATTCAACGCATAATTTTGCTTTACTAGACTAAGGTTTAATGTCAAAAATTACCCTTAAGTTATTAGGTTACAATAATTTAAGACTTATATTATTAATTTAGGCTATTTGAATCCAAAATTATTTTTTTTAAGCAAATATTATCCTTTTTCATTATCTATAACGGTTAAAATGTTGATCATTAACTGAAATAAGATTTAATGATAAAATTTACCCCAAAACTAATAGAGTTATTACAAAACGACATCATTTTAAGCATTTCATTTTTATTTTAGAATTAAAATTAATTTTTTTTAAACTAGATGGATTCATTGCATGTCATTAATTATTTAACAACGAAAGTAAAATCTATAAACAAAAAAAGCATCTAAGATACCTTAAAACTAATTATTATTATTTTAAAAAAAATACTTCTAATTCATAAAAAAAAAATCAGGATTTTTTTACTAGATGGGTTCATTATACATCATTAAGTATTCATCTATAACTCGTCAAATTTATGAATAACAAAATCATCTAAACTTTCTTAAAATTAACTATTATTAAAAAAAATTAAAATTAATTTGAATTCTAAAAAAGAAAGAAAAGATGATACTTTGAATGTAGAAAATAATGGAGAAACATAAAATTTACCTAAAAACTAATAGCTTATAGTCAAAACTAGTGTGGGTGCCTAGGCTTCGCTTCGGGAAAATTTTAGCATAGTATAGCAATGTGTCCATGTTTCGTTGCGATAGTTTTTTATTAGGTATAATTTTATATCCGTTGTGAGTTATCTTTTATCTATTATTATTTTTTATTTGGTATTATAAATTTATGAATATTATTGAACAAAGTTTAGCATGGCGTAAAAATTTTAATTATTGACCAAGAAGCATATGTAGGTTGAGCTTGAAAATGAGTAAAAAAGTTTCAATTGTGCACTAAGAAACATAAATAGACTGATTTGTAAGTATAAAAGTTTTAATTATTGACTAAAATGCATAAACATATTTTTTTCTAGCATAAAAGCATATAAATAAGTAGCACTTTCCAACCCAATTTTTCTTTCTTCTTTTTTTTTTTGCTTCTTCCTTTTTTTTTTTTTTTTTTTGGACTAGACTTGACTAAGATTAGCCCGAGTCCAACCACACATGGGTTGGGCTAAGCCCAACTCATTTCAATTTTAGTTAGACCCAAGCCCACAAATGCCAATTAATCCTCATTTTTTCTTTTTTCTTTTTGAATCATTCTTTCTTTCTTGTTTGCTTATTCTTCCCACCTAATTTTTCTCTCTCTTCTCCTTCTCTCTTTTTCTTCTTCCTCTCTCTATCCGAGTTCTTCAATTCATCTCTCGGTTTCATCTCTCTCTCTCTCTCTCCTTCTTCTTCCTCTCTTTATCCAGCTTCTTCAATTCATCTCTCGGTTTGATCTCTCTCTCTCTCACTATCTTCCTCTTCTCTTCTCCTCATTCCTTCGCCTCATCTCATCTTCTCCTTCCCTCTTTCTACCAAATCTTCTTGGAAGAACGAACTAAAGTTCATATTTGGTTTGCTCTCTCTCCTCTAATCCTCTTTCAACCTTTGACTCCCTTTATTGATTCTCCATCAGAATAAAAAAAAAAAAACCCCTCATTCAATCCTTTACCCAAATTTGATCAATAGGTTTCAATTTTTTTCAATTTTTTTCAATAAGCCTTAATTGCCTTGATTTCTCCAAAGATCAAGCCAATTCGAGTCTCCTAAAATCCAATTTCTTGGAAACTCGTAAATTGTATTACTATTAAAAAAATCCAAAAACCCTAGCTTTCAATCTAGTTCAATTCAACCTAAAGTTGGGGTTTAATCCCTAAATTGACAATCCAAATACCTTTAATTAGTCTTTCTTTCAATCATTCAAACTTAATTTCAATCCAACTTAAAAATTCCAAATTTTGAAACCCAAAACTCGCTCGAAACCCTAAATACAAAGAAAAATTTCATTAACATGATTAGTTTACCTAGAGGAATTTGAATTGAGGATGATGGTGAGAGGTATCGCTACTTCAATTAATTAAGTAAATCATTCTCTTTCTTCCGTATGTTTTTTTTTAGTTTCTATTTTTTTTCTTTCTTTTTCTTCAATTTTGTTTTTTAAGAATCGACCTCCTCTCCCTTAATTATTGTTGCTTTTATATACTTGTCAAATTATTGGTTCCCCATCGATGATGGTGTGAGACTTTTTTACAATCAAATTGTTGGTTTCCCATCGATGATGATATGAGATTTTTTTACAATTATGGTATAGGATCTATAGGTCGAGGGAGCATATTAAGAATTAATTAATTATATTAAGTATCATGTTATGCTTTTTTTAAAAAAAAAAAAACTCATGGATCTTGGTGTCATTTTGATTTAAGACATTTAATGAATTTCTTTATCTCCTTTTTGGAAAGTGTTAAGAGTTATGAAAGCAGCATTCCGTTGTTTGAGAAAAGTATTATGATTGTATCTCTACCTATTTTAATTTCATGTATTTGAAGGATCATACATCCTATAGAAGTATAAAATAAAAAAAAATTTCCTCCATCTAGAGGGTCCAAGATCATGTCATTGAATCAATTAACCATATATTCATGAATTAAAGTGATAAATAAAGAATTACCTCTTGTAGTAAAGATTTAAACCTTTACGGAAAGGAGCCGTCTAAGTGTCCAACCTTTATCGATAATCCACGCAATCCAAGCACCACACAAGAAGCACTCAAAATTAGTAGAGTGCTAGCTCCACCTTTTCCGACTTGTTTAGTGTTTATGCTTTAAAAATCTAATCAAAATAATTTTGCGACAACCCAAAAGGAGAGAGGGAAGATAGTGTTAGGATTTTTAGGAGAAAACTATTTTTCTTA